CTACAGCACACCTCACTCACACACTTCCCCTTTTCTGCTCCCCCTTAAATGACCAGGAGGGTTCTGAGCATTTTTATGTCTTCAAGCTAGGTGGATCACCATAAATAAACCAGACTGGGAAAGCAGCTGCTGTCCATTTTTCCTATTTGGGACAATCAATGATAATAACACTGAAGGGCTACAATACTTCTGAGAGATTAAACGCTCTCTCCCTTTCTCTCCCTAGTCTCTCACACACAAGCTCCTGTCCTGCTAATTGTTGGCTATTAGTCTGCAAGTCTGGGATTACATGTCTTATTAAATACAGAATTTCAAATGAGCTTCGTTAAATAAGAAAGTACTCCCAGTTTAATGAAGCTAATTTATATGGAAATTACACATAATACTGACAATTCAGCGGGACATTTATCCTCATTGGATGGAGGGGGGTAAGCGAAGAATGTCTCACTCGGTCCCTGCTTTTTCAACTTTTTTTTCCCCCTGCGTTTTGGGACCGCCTCGAGAATACTCCGTCCAGCGCTGTATGTTTGGGTTTAGGATGCAGCCATCAGCGAGCGCCCGTGCAGTGATGGAGAGCATGTTAGTGAACTCCTGTCCTTGCGCTAACCCTGCAGAGCTTCGGCCTGCCTCTCTGGTTCCCTCTGATCCATCAAGCTGTCTGATCGGCTGGAGAAAAGCCATTAGTCTGAAACAACACAATGCATGGGCTGGGAGCTGCAGGTGTCTCTTGTCTGTGCTGTGATTCTTCTTCAGCCTTCATGGATGTCAGATTTCCAATGCTCCAGCTGTCAAAAAAAACAGGAATGCGTAGATGTTCTGCCTGAAAAACAGGACTATATCCAGATTAAGATATTTTTCAGATAATTGTTGGTGCTTCTTTGGCCCTTCTGTATGTGTGAGGGCGATGTGCAAAATATTTCTTCATAAAACAATGTTTCTGTCTTTCTGCCACTGAGTGCTGATTTATTAATGCAGGTTTGTTTGCAGCCATGCCCTCAGACTGCCTCTGTCCCTCAGGCAAGCAGCTCCGCGTTGCCCCCTGGTGGTATTTAGGTAAAACAAACAGACGGCTGTCCACTTTTCTTTCTCAATTACTGACCTTTTAAACCCATCCCACATACTAGGCAAAGGTCAACACATCCTGGAATACAGCTGCATAAAAAATATATTTCAGCACATCTACTGAAAATGTGAAACTTGTAAATACAACCATATTTTACATACTAAAATATTAAAACACAAAATCTTACCAAGATTGTGTATAAGGTGTAGTGTCTATTACCCATGAAATAAAAGAAACTAACTTACAAATACCTTTTCAAAACATATTCAGGCTTGGCTTACATCAATAATTTCTTAATATTGATTTAAAATGACTAGTTATTTCACCTATAACATGGGAAACGTGTCTTGTAAGTGACGTAATCTGCCACTCAAACTAGTACATCTTAAACTATTAGGGAATTATTTACTTAAAATAATCTCCGCTGACTTACTGAAAAGTTATGGGTAAGTTAGTTTTGCCTCCAAGATATTTGCACTAGAAACTAGAACAAAAATACTTGGTAAAATTTTGTTTTTGAAGTGTTGAAGATAAATATCTGGTCATTTTGGCTTAGTTAATAAAAACCAAACATTTAGCTACTCTGAAAACAAAAACCCTGCGTAAAATGAATAAATGAGAAATTTCATTATGTAAATTAAGCCCCGCAAAGTCATGAGGAAGATTGCTAACTTGACAGCCGTCCAACAAAGAGGTCACAGAAGGTCATTGCAAAAGCAGCAGATGTTCCCAGAGGAACAAATCAAAATGTATTAAAGGGACAATTGAGTGGAAGAAAAAAAAGTACACAAGTGACAAGGGATAACCGCAGTCTGAGGAGGACTGGGAAACAAAGTCTTTTTGATACTTTGGGAAAGAACCAGTAATGAAATGACATATTCACAAGTTATTTAGGATACAGTGGGACGTTCTGCAGTCAGTAATAATTTAAGGCGGGGTGTCATTATGCTGGACTTGGTCCAATTAACCTCATACTTCCATCTGTTCACAACTTCATAAAAGTGCTGATTTCATTTTCCAGCAGGACTTGGCGCCAACCAGTGTTTCCAAAGGTACCAACGCCTTTTGGTTGATTTCCAAGCAAACTCACCAGACTCAACAATGAAGATGAGCTGAAGTCCACTTTCAGAGCAAGCTGGGGTTTAGCAACAGAGTTATTACATCAATGCCACACTATATTAATGTATGCAAAAGGAACCCAAACCAATCTGAATGCATATGCTACAGTATGCGTGCACGCATACTGTAGCACTTTGAATTGGCTTGTTGCTGAAAATGTGCTATATAAATAAAATTACCTTGCCTTACCTTACGCTTTTTGGTAGGGCGAAAAAATTATTTTTTTTCTTTTTATGCTAAGATTCACATTTTAAAATTTTACATAAAAATGTGCAGGAATAAACACTTTAAACATATCAAACTGTGTAACTCAAACAGCAAAAATATATGTACTTTTCAAATGTTTTCTAGTTTATCAAAGTGAACCTGTAAATGACAGAGGGCTTCACAGCAAATGCACCAAGAGTGTCTGCTGCATAAAATATATTTTCCTCAATGGTCCATTTTAAAAACATGATTGTTCGCAGCCATCATAATTTTCTGTGCACTTTGTGTTCTTCCATCAAGTTTCCATGGAGACCGATGAAGAGATCAGACAAAATTATGCTAAAACATACGTTCAAGTTTTGGATAGTGAACAAAAGCTTTATTCAAACAAGAAATAAAAAAAGTGACAGAAAAAAACAAAAACAAATGAGCAACAATTTGCATAAATATATATTTATATCTATCTATATATTTTCAGAGAAGGTCAGATGTGACATATTTCAAAAGGAAAATCTACAAAAACATTATAAAGAAGCTGCAAATAAAAAAAAAATCAGGTACAATTAGGTACAGTTCAGAAAGTACGATAAATGTGCCTCTTTAATGTTTAGAGATTTTTTTTTATATCAGGAGTGTTGAGGACTGAGAGGCTCCACATAAATTTATTTCCTTGCTGCTTTCTGTTTCAGTTTTCAGCAATCATAAAAATGCAGTCCAGTTTGTATTTCACCAATAGCAGTTTTGCGGTGCATGATGCACACAATGCAAAAAGAAACAAAAACAATAAACAAGAATTATTCTGCTTAGATTAAACTTAATGTTTTGTGTCAGAGTGAGGGTTTTACATTTTCACAGGGAAAACTCCACATACTAAACTCCTGCTCCAAAAAAACAAAACGCCTCATTGCAACTATTAAAAACGTGTAGTAGTGAAAGCTGCAATGTACATCTGCAGCTTAGTGTTATACAACAGAGTACAACTTGCTCTAATAAGGCCATGATTTTACATAAACCAATAGGTTATATAAAGTTTACACTCATACTACAATGTGTATACACTTAACAATTCAGCAAGCGTCATTCTATTTAAAAATAATATCCCAAACAACTCATAACATGGATGCAAAACAAATATTCACACGTGTATACTAAACAGTCAATTTGAACAGTTTTCCTCCCCTTATAAAAATAGCTTAAAAATCTGACACATAATTTAGTACAGTGTACATTTCTCTCTTTTTTATATATATATTTTGCTTCTAAAATAGTTTAATAAGAGGCTGGTATTTTACTCCACTGCTCTTCCTTTTCTCCCTTGACAATGCCACACAAATGTTACACAAATTGCTCTTAAAGGCAACCAAAACCCCCACGTTGCTAAAGCCTGGATCCTCGTGTTCGTCCTTGTACGCCATTTTCGGGAATCAAAGTAAACCAAGGTTTTTAAAAAAATCAGTTTCAAAACCACACAAGTTTCCATCTTACTCTTCCTAAGATTTAAAGACCTTTCATTAAGATGCCAGATGAATGTCTGGAGTTACTGGAGTTTTCAGTGATTGTTTCCAGTTTTACTTTGCTTTAGTTAGCCATTTGTAGTTTTTCAGCCATGGTGGGGAAACTACAGTTGGTTTGCTACTGGAGCAAAGACCTTGACGAATTTACCATCTTGTTATACTCCATATGCTACGAGTGTTTATCCCATATTTTCACATAGGTTAGTGTAAAATTAAAATAAATACGATAGATAACATAAACATACCTAATTAATTAGGTAATTTTAACAAAAATTGTTTCAACCCTTTGCGTCCTAAAAAACCCATTAACACCCAGAATAACTATGATGAAATTTGAGATTTTTGTTGAAAAAAAAAAAAAAGTAAGTCGTCTGGGAGGATGTGACAATTAGAGGATGTAACCAATTACATGCTGCTTAAAGCAGTTTAAAATAAAAAAAATGAAAATTAATCTGTTTAAAAATAAATAGCTTTATTTCTTTTTATTAACACATATATATAAATGTGTTAACTGAAATCTAAAATACAGCTGACAAAATTATGAAGTTGTGATCAAAATCAAATTTACTAGTCAGAATACTGACAAGCTAATTCAAATCTGCTGAAAAAAATTATGATAAAAATTATGATAATCTCAATAACAACAGTCAATTTGGTCAAAGCTTCAGGCTTTATCAGATTTTAATACACATGTTTGCAAATCCAGAAGCTTTAAAGTTCTGTAAAACAACACAGAAATTATTAATTAGATCTCTTTAACTTTATGGATGCTTTAGTTTCTACTGTTCTTCCAATTCTCCCATTTCTGATTAGCGACAATTATTTTGTCACAACCAGTGACTGTCAGTCATTGACAACACAGCTGACCAAGAAAGCTATGCGACTAACAAAAAATAAGCAATTTTATCATTTTTTCTGACTCAACATAATGGTGTTGAGTTGGTGTTGTTGTTTTCTGGTGCAGTTAGCTACATGCTAAACTACTAGCATCTTTATGCTTCGTTTCGAAATGACTTGCCCCAACATTTCGTTGGGTTTCCTGTGAATTGTTAAAAGATAAACTTAGAAAAACTTTTTCTCCTGCTTCAGAAATATTGTTTTTGGAGTTGTAAATCGTAATGCCATTGTTCTCCGTTGTGAGCAGAAAACCACTGGGTGGAAAAGGCTTCAAAGCTAAACAGAAATTTCAGGTTTGATCAACAAATAACTTCGTGCAAACTTTTCTTCAAGTGTTGTGAACTAAATAGGCCATAATTTTAAAAAATGGCATGGAAATCAAACAGTTTAACTGCAGACAGTATATCAACACTAGATATCAATATGTATGTTATATTAAGGACTCAAAAAGTTAATTATTAAAAAAAATTGGGGACTGGGACATCCCCAATTATAGATGTAATATATTATTGTACAATTGGTAGGAATAATTGTTGCTTTTGTTTTTAAAATAAGAGCCTATAGAGCATGTTTAACATTTGTGTGTTAATATTTTGAAACCATGGAATATTTAGGGCTGTTATAACCAATCAATCTTAGTCTCTACTCTGCTAGCAGCCATTTAGTTCAGACTTTCCTGGCAAGGGACATCTTGTGCACAGAAACCTCATCTATGATCATAAAGGGTGCATGGGCAATGCCAGGATCATTGAAAAGGCGAGGCAGGGAGACAAGAGCATGCCACAAGTGGCAGGGCAGACACATTAAACACAGAAGCATTTAGTATCGCACCAACCAAAGAAACAAAACAAACAAAAACAAAACACAAGTATCCACAATTCAGTGTTTTTACACACAGAAGCATTTTGGGAGCCTTAGGCAGGTCATACCAGAACAGATAAAAAGTATAATATCAGTGGTGAACAGAAAAAAATAATAAAAATATCCAACAACAGGCAGGAGTCATTGAACAGATTGTCACTTTTCCATGCTCCGCACACAGGCATGTTTTTTTTTTTCCTTTAAACAAGACAAGCAATAAACCATCATTCCCAGCTATAATTTACGAGCTAAACAACACTGTACACGCACGAGAACAAGTGCACACGCATACAAAACACAGTCCCTCACAAACACACCTCCCATTGAACCATGGGACGCAAGTTATGGTGTGAGCGGTAAATAGCTTGTCCCCTGATACCAAAGGGTTGCAAAAAAACGCAAACAGAAGGAGTGATATAAACCCTCAGCATTTGTAAGGACACTTGAAGAAAGATTGTTTTGTTTGGATTGAGTAAATGCAGTTGCTATGTACCACTGTGTTTGCTGGTTATAGCTTTTAAAAGCATATAAAATAATAACTCTGTTGTTTATGACAAAAATAAATAACTGAAACATCTTGCAGCAGTTGTTAAAAAAGGTCACTTAATGTTTGTGTGTTTGTAGTAGTATGTAAAAGATGCAAACTCAACAGCACAAGGAACTAGCCGTAAAAGCCGTTAGCCTGAAACCATCATGCATTGCCATAGAAAAGACCAAAATGCATCCTCAGCAAACATAATTTCCATCATGCCGATATAAAGATTTAACTGTATACAAACAGTACAGCATCACAAGTCAGATTACGGATTACTCTCGGTGAGTCTCCCATCCCGGACGAACCCCCAATCCAGGTTTGAATACCAGAGTAGTGACTGAAACATTTAAGTGCCTCAATCCTGAAACATGTCGGACTTCAATGGCAGAGGCCGTCAGATAATGGCAGTAAATGTTCTCAGAGTTCAGCACAGGCTTTGTTGTTCACAAATATTTGCCTCACGCATTTCATTTTGCATCTTTTCCTGGAGAACAGCAGAATGTTTAACGACAAGGCCAACACTTAAAATGACACCCTGTGCTGTTAATCTGTGCACTGAACACTTTATGTTCCCCTGAAGTCAAGTATTGGCTTTGCAAGGAATTATGAAGGGATTCCATCTGAAGAAGTACTCCGTTTTTAAATTTTTTCCAAGGAGTGATCGCTGTTTTACACAAAAAGGACACTTCAAATATCTAAATCCATCATGTTAAAGCGTCAAAACCAGCAGGCAACATCCCCATTCAGCAAACCCGAATGAACAATGAACACTTGCAGCTCACAGTAACACTGAAATTTTCAGAAAGGGGGGTTTTTCCAACCCCAAAGGGGGATTCTTAGTGCACAAAATTGTTTCGTTTTCCCCAAAAGAGCAGCAGATGCATTTTTAGATTTTATAAGAAACAATGTTTCTTCTGACCAAACTTTTCTAAGAACTCTTGGAGAACCTATAGTTATAGGAACCCCCCCATACAGCAAAGTAATAAGAAACGCAACTTTTTTTTTTTTTTGCTTGCATTTGCACTGCCAGAAAAAAAAAAATGCAGTGATTGCATAGCAGTTGCCAGGCGATCATTGTGGCAATGTCAGTTATGCTTCCAACATTCACCAAAATAAAGCCACGACAAAACCAGAGCCGGGTCTCTGTGTGAAAAAACAACAACAACAAAAAAAACACCAGTTTTCTGAAATTGCTGGTCATTTCTCCATTTTGGCCAAACCAGACTTTTTTTTGGGTGTGTTTGAGAAGTTCCCGTTAGAGGATTTATGAGAATATTCAATTGTTTTAGTGAGTAGAGAATTTTTCCTGGATCTTCCATGACAAACATGGTTCCGGTTTTTGTAAAGTTGCCTGAAACTTAAATTGTACGATGTCATTCAGTGATTTTTTTTTTACATCTTGAACATGACTGAGACTTTGAATTGACCTCTCATACCAGGTCAACTTGACCAAGTGGAGCCAAGTTGACCTGTTATGAGAACATTCACAATTCAGATTATTTTTGAAGATCCATCATTTGCGAGCTCCACCAGACATTTTTGCCTGAATCCCACTCTACCCTTTTTGGACCGCTAACAAAGATAAGAACTGTAATGTTACTGGCCCATGGCAAAGTGAAGAGAGACAGATTTCCAGAAAGAACTGGAAATCTTCTTGTCCCCAGTGAAAAAAATCTGATTAAGATATAAGAACCTGAAAAAATAAATCTGTTAAATAAGTAGTTTCCTAAACTAAATAAAAGCATTGTTCTTTTAAATTCAAGGTAGAACCAAGTCACATCACATTGAGTGGTTGATAAATATTAGCCTGAATGATTAATTACAAAGTAGCACAATTTCATATGGTGCCAATTTGTCCTCAAAATATTGGTATCGTTAAACTCTGCCATGAATGAACATTTAGATATGCTAAATACTTTATGATTATTAAATAAGCAATACAAGATTAAATAGAAAATTTTAACTCTTCCTTTATAACACATAAAAAGAATGTGTGATTCGGGACTGATGTCTGTTTACACATTATAAACCATGTCAGGACAGAACTGATGTTGCACCACTTTCTAAAGGGAATGTCGTGTTTCCTGGACATAATATTACCCTCTACCTCATAACTGAGGTGGGTGGAGAAGAAATGGGTGTGAGAATTGATGAAGCAGTGAACTGGCCTGGAGCATCTTTAAAAAACCCTGGAAGCTTAAGGTTTCTAAACTTCTATCTAAATTAAATACTTAAAATGTTGAGTCAATTTTTACCACTTGCTTCTCTACCTGATCTTGAATTTTTTTTTTCTGCAATTCTGAATTTCCTGCATATTTTATTTTGAAATCCTCTCAGTTGACTTGTGTTTCGCTTCATTTTGGTGAATGTTCTCAAATCTGTTGTGTACAGTTTGAGTGCATTTCTAAAAACCAGACAATAACTAAGTGAACAACTGACTCTACCAATCTATATGCAACCGGGCCCCGATTGCAGATGGAGGGCTAATATCCTGAAGCAGGATCTTAAAAACACTCGTTAAAAGCAGCTCTGCAAGAAGGCCATGGTACCTGCAGCGCAAACAAAGAGAGGAATCCGCCTTAAGCTGTTATGAGAACTATTAAAAAGGTTCCTGCAGCCTGAAACCACCTGTAATCATTGTCAGAAATTATTTTCTCATCTCTCCAAGCTTGTCCAATTTTATGAAGCTTTGGCTTTTCTTGCTCGTGGTGACATTTTATCTTCAGACTTGACAACTCCATTGGCAGCTCCTCCTAGCAAGACGAGTTGAGTGGAGAATTAGTAATTATAGCAGGTAAGCTGAGCTGCAGCAAGCAGGAAACGCTGCGTCTGTGCAGACTTACCCTTGGTAGTTTCTCTTTTATGAGGCTTGCTCTTTGGGCTCACTGTCTTCTTCTTTGATGCTTGGTTCTGGCTGTGCTCTCTCCACTTTTTTAACTGGAAATTAATGAACTTCCACATCATCCAGGCCTGCGTCAGACAGATGGCTGCAAGGCAGGTCATCCTGTGAGGATACAGTTTACTTTAGTTCACTCCCATCTGGATGTTTGCTGAGTATACACTGAAGCACTGAGAGCTTTTTCTTGGCCATACCTGATGGTGAGCACGTTAAAGTTGCCTTCTGCCAAGGAAAAACCGTGGTTTTCCGTACGGGGCAGACCAAAGCCAAATGTCAGCACTGACAGTGTGAGGGTGAGGAGGCGGGCAATGACAAAAAGCAGCGCCCACAGGGTGAAGCTGGAACCAAAAGTAAATGGTGCTGTTAAATACCATTACCCCATATTAAAAAAAAAAACTGAATGAGAATAAAACAAATACCCTTTTTGCTTGTTCTCGTCACTGAAGTAGAAAAGGCGTGAAGCGTGGAACAAAAGTTCGACCAGGTAGTGAGGGACCAGCAGCACCAGGCCCAGTCGGTGGAGGCTGAAAAACAAACGGGGACGGCGGTGAAGACTCAGCTAAAGACGGAAAACTCAACTTCGGGGTTCCAACACATTTTTTAAGATCAAGTTTCACACTTTTCTGTACTTGAATTTTTCTGGTACATTTTTAAGATACCGATACAAAAGTTAAATAAGACCCTTTTACTGGAGTCCTGCTTTGAATAAAACCTGAGGATGAAGGGGTGAACAGATGGATAATGGTCAAATTAAAGATGGACTGGATGGACAGATGTGTTGGAAGCAGAGGTTTTCAACTCCTGTCCTCAAAAGCTGGAGCTGGATGAGTCTCTGGTTCATCGATAGATGGACGGAAAAAGAGATAGAAAGTTCAAGATATGGATAATTTGATAATGAATGGACAGATGATTGGCACACGGAGTTTCAAAGGAGTAGATGGATGTTTTGATGGATGGATAAACAGAAAAGGAAAGCTGATTATTAAACAAATTCAATTTTAGTCCTTACTCCAAAATTTTGTGATGATTCTGATGATAACAATGGAAAAATGTAAGGTTTGTTGCTTAGCTTTTAAGTACTGCCAAATAAATAAACTCGGCTTAATTGGGAAGATGGACAGATGGATGGACACGTGAATGAACGAATGAACAGGAGGGCAAATCGGTAAAAGGACAAATGGTTGAATGGTCAAACTGCTGGATGAACAAATCAATAGATTGTTCAGTGGAAGGTTGATTGAACTGACGGACGAATGGATACCCTGTCAACTACAGTGAAGCATTCAAATGCACCACCTTCTATAAGCAGCAACTACAGAACAAGCCTGTGGGCTCGACAGCATCCCTGCATCTGAGATCAATAGTGCTGAAGGAAAGAAGATGAGCAAACGGTGAGGTCTGAGGTCAAAAAGCTTGTAGAAAGCTTCTGGAGTTGAAATCCTCAGGCCAGGAAAAGGTGGCTGACCTGACTTTAAAAATGAAGACGAACGTAATATGACTGCATGTATGGAGAAAAGGTTTACTGCAGTAACGGAGCAACTATTACAACTTCACAAGTAATTAATTACTGAGAGCAGATTAGTGTCAGTCAGCAGCCTTGTTGTCCGGATGTTAAAAACTTTCAAACTACCCCTTTAGAAGCTTCTTAGAGATCATGGGATTGATTTAATGAAGATATTCATCTTTTTGTAAAAATCTTAAAGAAAATAATTACCCCTCTGACTTACTTTAAGATGTAGGCACCAGAGATGTGGACAACGTAAAGGCAAATGTAATAAAGCTGGCGGGGGATGTCCTCCTATGGAAATGAAACAGATAAGGAGAGATACTGTTAGTATTAGAAGGATTTCACATAAGCATAAAGGTAGGTAAACACAGCTAAGCTGGAAGTAAAAGCAAAATTGAGTTTGTGTGATTTTTTAAAATTTTTGTCAAAAGATTGTTTTAATTAACCAAGTGGCAAAATAACATTTAGCTTTAAGGCTTTATGGGATAGCCACATCTAAGCAATATGATTGGGTAATTAAAAAAAATTAAAAATAAAACCAAGACATTTATTGGGTCCCAACTTACTTTGATATATTACACGATTAAAAGCGAAAAAAAAGCAAAAAGATCAATCTAAACAAACCTGATAAAAGTAATATTTTTATTATTATGTAATGATGAAATGCTGTTATTAAAAATAAATAAATAAATAAATAAATAAAAAAAACAAGCACAGGCCAAACTCACCTTTCGTACTTTTTGAAAGTACAGCTCAGGAAGTGCATGGAGCCAATAGGCAATTTGGCAAATGTAGAAGAATTTAACCTGAAAACTAAAGAGAAAATAGGTTGAGCAATAAACAAGAAGAGACTAAGACATGCTAGTTTTATTTTATACATGAATCTTGGAAGTATCTACGATTCAGAGAAATGCAGAGACAAACTTAGAGATGAATAAGCAAATTTTAAATACTAAAAAAAAAAAATAACGGAACACTTTGTTTAACAAAAGGAAAAACACTGAAAGAAAGCAATTTCAAACTGTGCTTCATCAGAGAATTTAATTAACTTGCAGATAAACTTTTAACATCATTCCACAGTGTGACCTTGTACCACACAGCTCTCAAAGGCATCTTTACTTACACCATGCTAGTGTGTGGGTACCCCTCCCATAAGAAAGTGGGATTTGTCGCAAACTCCTCCTGTCAAAGTAAAAAAGTTAAACCCCCATAAACATGAAGCCTCGAACGACATGCAATAATGTTTTTGTGACTCGTGAGCCTTGTACCGCTGTTAGGATGCTGCAGCCCCAGATAAAGGAGAACAGGTAGAATGCTGCTAGCTGGCCAGACTCATTAAACTTGCTGTGTTTGGTCTTCGACAGGTGCAACCTCCTATTAATTTTCTGAAATGGAGAATAAACACACAATACGAACACAATTACACAGAGTGCAGATCATTATAGGGCTGTGGGCAGTAGCCATGAGGGAACAGTGCATGGAAAGTTCAAGAGAAATTCAGCTGGAAACAATAAACTAACAGCTTCTAGTGGTGGCCTGGTTAAAATGAAAATTTCCATAATAAATAATTGCTCCTGGCAGACTTTGTGAGCAACATGTACACCCTTTCTTCAAAAGTAAAAATAAACAAAGATGACTATAATAGCAAAGTTTTGAGCTTCATTTGTTTCAAGCCGAGTAGATTCACTTGAATTTGCATTAGTCCACGTAGCCAAAAGCATGGTTCCTTAATAAGAAAATAAGATAAGCCTGAAGGTTCTCTACTGCAGGTAATAAAATGTCTGCTAAAGACTTTACAAAACCCAGCTTAACCCCCCCCCCCCCCCAATGAAACCTACAGTGTCATTAGTTCTTTTGCTTTTCATTAATTTTGATAATGCATGATATTTAAAATGTAATATTCTGTAGTTTCTTTTGCCTCTTTTTGAAACAACTGCATTTGTTATAGTAGAAGCACAAATTAACAAGGAAAAAAAAAAGCAAAAGCT